ACCTCCTCGAAGCCTGCACGTCCAAAGACGCACAAGCCCAAGGCCGTTCCTGCCGCCGCGGAGAGCGAGGCGGGGCCGAGCATAGTGCCGACCCAGAATGGAGGTGGGAAGAGCGCGATGGACGACATATTCTCCAGCTTCGCGCCGAAGCGCGAGCAGCGGGATGCGGCGCGACAGCAGCAGGCGGCGGCGGCCGAGGAGGCGGCCGCCGCCGCCTCGGCGGCGGCCAAGCGGGCCAAGAAGCGCAAGCGTGACAAGGTGATCGATCCTGTCTTTGGCGAGGAGTACGACCTGGACCGCGCGGTCGACCCGCAGAACGCAAAGGTCCACCGCCACGACAGCTCGAGCGGGCTGAGGGTGAGCCTCGCCCTCCCTACTGCCCCACACTCAAGCCTCGCAGCATCAGAGGCGATTGCTGCCTCACGGATCGCCGTCCCCGCCCAGGTTTACAAGGCGCACGACCTTGGCCTTGGCCGAGGGGGGGGCACGCCGCTGTGCCCTTTTGACTGCAAGTGCTGTTTCTGATGTTGAAGGGGGGGGAGGCGCAGTCTGTCGTACCGCCACGTAGGCTCGCGTAGTCGTCACGTACGTCGCGAAGTCGAAAAAGTGTTTTCTCCGCGTCGCAAAATATATGTGTCGATTAATAGTAAACTGATCATTACGCGTGTGGTCTACCAGCAGAGACTAGAGGTGACAGGTGTGCGGCGCCCACATCACGGCCCACCCCAACTGTCGCTCGCTGTGTCGGCCGCACCCCGTCGCGCGTTGACCGTTGTGCCGTTGCCCGTTGGTGGCTATATAGGGCGGGGAGGCTGATGGCTGATGGCTGATGCACTTTGCTTTCAACTTTTAGGAGCGGTACGGCGTACAGTCTGATCACTGATGCACAGTGGGGAGGCTGATGGGCACGCTTCTGTCCGCCACGAGCGTCGCACGCGCGGCCTCGACCTTTGCCCGGAGGTCCTTCAGCTCTCCCGACCGCCAGCCGACCTGCTGACTCAGGCTAGCGAGCCGCTCCCGCGTCACTGCCGGCGCCTCACCACCCGCCACCTTCGCCGCGGCGCTGTTGCGGCCTGCAGCGGCGCCCGCGCCCACCGAGCCTCGCTGGACCGACGCGCTCAGTGCGGCTACCTCCCTCTCTTTGTTGAGCGCCTCGACCGCCCTCGCCTGCAGCCTCCCGCCGAGTCGCCGGTGCTCGGCGCGCAGGGAGGCCAGCACAGCCTGCTCCCGCTCCACCGCGCTCCTCGCCGCCGCCGCCTCGGCGTGCGCCTTCGACTCCTGCCGCACGGCGAGGCGGACCGCGGCAGCTGCGGACCGCACGCAAGGCGGCTCATCGCCGCGCTCGATGCTCGCCTCAATCGCCACCGCCGCCTCCGCCGAGCAGGCGGCCGGCGCCGCGAGGAGCGGCCGCTCGAACCCCGACGAGCGCTCGGTTTTGCAGAGCGGGCAGACGGGCTTGTGCTGGAACCACTCGAGTAGGCACGACTCGTGGAAGACGTGACCGCATCGCGTGACGATGAGGGCGGACTCGAGCGGCTCGGCGCAGATCGAGCAGTCGGGCATCACTTCGGCCAGCTGCGGGGCTGTCATGCGCACCCCACACACGTTGTGAAAGAGATTTTCAACGACATGAGGTACGGGCTGGCGAGGTACTTCCAGCCTGCTGTGGGAACAGCTGACGCAGTCTCGCCAAGGCTCGCCCCAGCACCCTCGCCCCCCCGGGCAAGGGGGGACCCCGTGAGGCGAGGCCTCGCCAGGGTACGGGACTGGCCGAACAAAGACGACGGCTTCTAATCGAAGCCGTCGTCCTCATAGAAGCCGTCCGCCTCACAGAAGGCGTCGTCGGAATGGTAGTCAGGCGGATGGTCAAATCCGCGATCACCGTGGTGCTCGCCGAAAAGACCATCCGCATCCCCGTCATCCTCCCACTCACTGAAAAGAGTTGTTAGACGGTCACCACCTCTGAAGCCATGAGATAAGATTTTTTTGCCGCGCCGTGCGGAATCGGGTCTTCTTCGTCCTTTGACGTTTCACCTAGATAGAGCAAGCAGGGCGACGCGCCCCCACGCCCCACGCCCATCCGCCGGCCGGGTGGGGGACACCACGTGTGGTAGCGGCGGGGAACACGGGCACTAGACCAGGAAGGACTGGGAGAGTGTGAATGGAGGGACACGTGTTTTTTTAATAGAGCAGTCATCTCCAGGAGAGATGGGCGACGCACGAGAAGCGACACACGCACGTCACACCTCACACGTGTGTTCAGACGGCTAGGGCCTTTTATAAAATGAACTCGGGGGCACGGGACGCGGCACAAACGGGGCACAAACGGCTAGGGCCTCCCTCAATTTCTCTTACTCTATATGAGAAAAGCGGGATGTCTGTGGGCCCGAGAGCGATAGATCTATATATAAGGCTTCCCCAAAGAGAATTCTTAAAATACGCCTCTCTTATACTCAAAGAGAAAAACGCGGTCATCCTCGGCGTGTTCGGACATCCTTCGAGTACAAGTCGCAGTGACTGCCGCCGGGCTTGGGCATCAGGCCGCGCTCGCTGCATGCCGCCGCCTGCGCGTGTGTGCATTGCCTGCAAGGCGTCCAAGACCAAGTGCATCAACTTTGTTCCCGGAAAGCATCCCTGCGACCGATGCGCGAGGATCGGCCTGCGCTGTGAGCCGGCACCACAACTTGGCATGCGGGTCGCCCGCAAGGCCCTGGGCGCGACTTTGCAGGCTATGCTCGAGGACCCTTCGCCGCTCGGGCCCCCAGGCCAGCCCGTCGTGGAGTTCAACGGGTCCGCCGTCTTTGATGCGGGCGCTCCTCGCACGCCCGGCGAACAGCAGGTCATGAGGCTCGCGTCGGACGGCATCGCGATGCGCGCCTTCCAGCAGCTGCCGGGCACCAACATCCAGGGCGCGAGGAACGTGCTCGCAGTCATGCTCGAGCCGGGCACGTCGCGCTCCTCGATCCGCTTCACCCTCAAGCCGCTCGCCGCGATTGCGCGCCGCCGCAACGCCTACGAGCTCATGGCGCGCGGCGGACGGCGGGGAGGGGGGCGGCCCTCCGGAGTCGGCACTGAGGGGGGAGGCGGCACCACTGTAGGAGGTCGCTCTGCGCATCTGCCGGCACCACGAGATCTCGATGGACGAGGCCTCCCGCAAGGGTCTGCCGCCCTCCCCCCCCGATGCTCCAGCGCCGACCAGCTCCGGAGCCGTCTCGTGTAGGTGCTGCCGCTCGACGAGGCGGTGCCGCTGCCCCCATTCGACGGCTCGCTTCCGCCCCTCTTCGAGAACCTGATGGCGAACTCCGAGGGCTACGTCTTCCTCCGCACGATCCGAGACGGCGAGGCGAGCTGTCGGCCGCGCCCCGCCCTGCGACGGCAGCAGAGCCTGCTAGCAGAGCCTGCTCTCGGCCTCGCGTCAGTAAAAGAAATCGCGCCGTCCGCGCCAAACCTCCGCGCCGCACGCGCGCTCCTCCCCCCGCCCCACCCCACCCCTCGCTCCGCTGCCCCGCAGGCGCACTTCCTCGTCAACTCCGCCTTCGAGCGCTCCATCGTCTCCGTGCGGGAGATGCAGCAGGCGTGGAAGAGCAGCCAGGCGCCGCAAGAGAAGAGAAGAGATGCAGCGGGCGTGGTAGAGCAGCCAGGCGGCGCGATCGGCAGCCGAGAGATTGCGCGCCCCTCGGGCTGCGGCGCCACCGCCAGCGTGCCCGCGCCCCGCCGCTCTCAGGTCGAGATCAACGCGCTCTTCACGCACCCGGAGGACCTGCAGTCTGTCTACCGCATGATTGGCCAGCTCTATCGCCAGTGCCAGGAAGACGTCGTCGCCCAGGCGCAGTGCGAGAGGCCCGTGCGCGTGTATGACCGGCTCGCCGGCTCGTACTCCTTCTTCGACGTGTCCGGAAGGCTGCTCGTGGATTGGGACGGCCGCATCGTCACCAGCGTCGTGGAGATGCTCCCGCAGCCAGAGATGCTCCCGCAGCCAGAGATGCTCCCGCAGCCAGAGATGCTCCCGCAGCCAGAGATGCTCCCGCAGCCAGAGATGCTCCCGCAGCCAGAGATGCTCCCGCAGCCAGCCGGCGCGGAAGGCGCTGCCGTCGCCCCCGTCCACACAACCGCCCCCCGTCCCAGGGCCCAGGCCCCGGCTCGCCCTCTGTAGTTCCGGACCGACTTGCTTCGGAGCTACCATGCCCCTCCGGGGGCCGCGCGGGTGCGCCCTTTCCCCCCCCGGGGTTTGACCGTTGGTCGCACTTCCTCCCATTTTGGGAGTCCCCCTTCTCCCCCCCTCAAACCCCTGGCCCTGC